AGCTTAGATGTATTAAGGCCTTCTTGGTAAGATTAAAGGAACCCTTTGAAAATACTACATTTGCCCTTGGCATATCCATCATCCTAGAGGGCCTTTCTTAGTAAACAATGAACCAAAAATCTGACAAAAGTCAACCAACCAAACATCTATAAAGGGATTGGCACCCATGGAGGTGCTTTGGCTAAGGAGCCCAGAAGCTCAATCAACTCCTCTGCAGTTTCAGGGCTCATAGGAAGTTGCTGAGAGGCAGGCTTATGACAATGACCACTCCCTAGACCACAGTTCCCCTTGGCTAGATCTCCAGGTCAGGATCTGTCAGGGTCAGGGTCAAGACCTTTATTTTATTTGTGGTAAAATTCTGAACATACGACATTCACCATATCAGCCATTTTAAAGTGTACAAAACAGTAAAATTTATTCCACTAACAACAGAGTGTCACCATCACTAGTGTCTATTCCAGAACATTTTCATCACCTGAAAAGGAATCACATACCTATACACATTTTAAGCAATTACTTCCCATTCCTCTTCCCTCCCATCCCCAGGCAACCAACTATCTACTTTTTGTCTCTATGATGTCTGCTCTGATGGAATCCTACAATATGCAGCCTTTGGTACCTGGCTTCTTTCACTATCACGTTTCCAAGGTTCACTGATGTTTTAGCATGTCTCAGTATTTCATTCCTTTTTGTGGGCTAATAATATTCCATTGTATGGATATGACACATTTTATTTATCTATTCATCAGGTGATGGACATTTGGGCTGTTCCCACCTCTCGGACTATTTGTGAATAGTGCTATTATAAACATTGTGGCCAAATGTTTGTTTAAAAGCCTGTTTCCATTTCTTTTGGGTATATACCTGGGAGTGGAAATGCTTGATGATATAGTAATTTCCTTTTTTTTGAAGATTGTATTTATTTATTCATGAGAGACACAGAGAGAGAGAGAGGCAGAGACATAGGTAGAGGAAGAAGCAGGTTCCATGCAGGGAGCCCCATGAGGGACTCGATCCCGGGACTCCAGGATCACACCCTGGGTCGAAGGCAGGCACCAAACCACTGAGCCATCCAGGTGTCCCGGATATAGTAATTCCATGTTTAAGTTTTAGAAGAATCCCCAAGATTTTTCTTTTGATAGTTTCTCTCAATGCACAGGTTTATTCTAACTGTTCTCTCCTCCTCCTACAATTTTTTGTTTTTCTAATCAAAGTGATCAATTGGCCACTTCTGGCCAATTTTTCATCATAAGCAATCACTGTCATAATTAAGTGAAGCTGACATCATTTCAGTTTTTGTTACTCTGTTCCTCATTGTGTGTTGAAGTCCATTTGATTTTAGCTTTTAAAAAAATATTTGACATAGGAAAGGAGAAGCTACCAGAACAGGTAATCTTTTAAGTGATCACTGACTTCCAAAATCTGAGCTCTGGGAGCCTAAAAGCAGGTAAGACTTTTGTTTTTGTTGTTTTAAAGATTTTATTATTTGAGAGAGCTGCCATAAGCAGGGGGAGTGGCAGAGGGAGAGAGTGAAGCAGGGAGCTTCACTTAGGCCTCTATGCCAGGACCCTGGGATCATGACCTGAGCCAAAGTCAGGTGCTCACCTGACTGAGCCACGCAGGCACCCCCGCAGGTAAAACTTAAAAATATAAATTAGATCACATCCCTCTAGCCTAAATGGCCTTATTTCAGTTCAACACAACAAGCTCATTCCCACTTAGGGCCTTTTCATTTGCTGACTCTACTGGCTGGAATACACTTTCCCCAACTACTTCCATGATGTATATCATTCGAAGCTCAGTTTAAATGTCCCGCCCAATGGAGAGGACTCCACTCAAAATCCTAGCACTGCTTCATTTTCACCCTCCTCTATCACGTTACTCTGCTCTGCTTTCTTCACAGCATTAATCACTCTTTATAAAATTCTTATTTGTGTGCTTGTTGTCTGTCCTCTTCACTAGAATATACATTTACAAGGACTTCGTCAGACTTGTTTTCTGCTTTATCTCTATTTCCCAAGAGTGTCTGGCATGTGGCAGATGCTGTGAAAATATTTGATAGATGAACACAACTAGGGTAGGCTATGGTAGCAGAGGCTACATATGTCTGGGGGGAATATTCTAAAAGAACACCACAGGATCCCTACCTTCAAAGGGCCTACATTTGTATTATGGAATAATGAATAATTATACAGTGGTCTAATACTGAAACAGAATTGAGAGGCCTCCATCTTTTATTTTGCCATTTTAAGCCATTGGCAGAATGGTTTTGAATGGCACACATTTGCACAGTGAACTTTTTCCTTTTTGTTAATCAGTTTGTACCTCTTAATTGCTTTAGAAATCTGTCCTTTCTTCATCCTCAAGGAATCAACTCCACCATACCCTATATTTAGGCAACTTGCTTCTTCAAGATGCAGATTAATTTATCATTCATTCATTCATTGAATAAAAAGGTACTGAGGGCCTATCACATGCCAGGCACTGTTCTAAGTGAACACAGCAATAAAAAATAAAAATAATAATAAAAAAAAAGCAGGCAGGATCTCTTATTTCTAGTGATGATCAAGGGCAAGACACAAACAAACAAAAAAAAGGTATTGGAAATTGCAAAAAGACAAAACACAGAACAAGGCCCCTGGACATACATATTACCAGGAAGCTCCCCTTCTATACAGTGGTGATGGAAGAAAGATCTAGAAAGGGAGAACACATCTGTTCATTCATTCAACACATCTGTTCATTCATTCAACAAATTATTATTAAGTATCTTTTATGTGACAGGTAACCTGCTAGGTTGTGCAGATGATCAGTGAACAAATAGACAAGGCAGTTCTTCATATTCTAGCGTGGGAGATAATAAAAGACAAGGGGGGGATCCCTGAGTGGCTCAGTGGTTTAGCGCCTGCCTTCGGCCCAGGGCGTGATCCTGGAGTCCTGGGATCGAGTCCCGCGTCGGGCTTCCGGCATGGAGCCTGCTTCTCCCTCCTCCTCCTCTCTGTCTATCATGAATAAATAAATAAATAAATAAATATTTAAAAAAAAATAAAATAAAATAGACAAGGGGATAAAAATCAGTGATGAGTCCTCCACAGAGAAATCCAACTCATGTGACTGGCTCTTTTGACAGAGGGGAGAGGAAGTCAAGGAAGGTCTCAAGAAGGTAATATTTAACCTAAGGCTGAATGATGAGAAGCAATCAGCCTTTCAAAGATTGAGCAAAGAATGTTCTAGTCAGTAGGAACTGTCAGTGCAAAGGGTCTAGGTCAGTAATGAGCTAGAAATATTCAACGGACAGAAGGCATGTACGGCTGGAGCAGAGGGAACAAAAAGGAGAATGATTAGAAGAGGAAAGGCTAAGCAGTGAGACCTGCAAGAATACTGTAATGAAAGCCATGACCAGGGTGGTAGCAATAAAAACAGAGAGACACCAACTGATTAGGAAATACTACTGACTTTACAGTGCAAAATTTCCTTTTAAGTCACACTTGATCTGTGATATTATCCCATTCCCGCTTTTGGGGAGTAGGGTGTAACAGTCCCAATGAAGACCCCAAAAGTACAGGGTGCTGTGGGGTGTGCCTGACAACCATCCAGCCATACCTACGCTTTTAAATATGTGAGTAAGCCACAGGTGCCAAATCCAGGACAATGAACCCTTTTGAGCATAAAAAGTTCAATCGCTTGAGACAGATTTAGAACTCCACTTTCTGGTTTCACTTCCCAGCAATGGGTACAAATTAAGAAAATAAAACGAATGGCTTCTCTCTCAATGCTTAGTTTCCCCCTCTCGCAGGCTAAGTTGAAAGCTACCAGTGGGTGAAGACAGGTGCAAGAGGAGGGAGCTGGGGCTGCATTCAGCCTTCAACATTTCCAACATCCATTTACCCAGGCGAACCCTTCCACGTCTTGACCCAATTTCACTTCATTTTGTCCCCAGGCCCAAAATATTCCCTAGAGTTCCCTTGTTCTTAACGCTTGCACTTTTCGGGAAGACACAGGGTATCTGAGCATTGTTTGCGTACTGCAAAGCAGGCTGCGCTCTACCCCACAGGAGGAGGGGCGCAGAAATGCCAGTTGACGAGCCGGGTTTCCAACCCCCTCCTCCCCCACTTCCCTCGCCCCACCGCCCCACCACAGCCGGAGCTCGGCGGCGACCGCTTCGCACCGCCCTCCAGGCCTCCCACTTGGGATTCGAGGATTGGATCTCGCCCGGCACCGCCCTCTCCCCTTAGGTGCGGGGAAGGGGCAGCGGGTTCCTTAGACTGCAAGTCTACGGCTCTTCTGAAAAAGAGGGGAGTGCAAACACTGCAAGGGCAAGGGTGCGCGGGGACCCTGGCTCCCGTGTGCCCCACGGTCGCGGAATGGCCCCGGTCCAGAGTCCACCCCCCCTTTAGGATGGTGAGAAGTCCCGGGCTCGTCACGACAGACCACCTTCCGCCAGCCCAGTCTCCTTCCCCACGGGTGTGCGCTCCCCTGGGCGCTCAGGTGCACCTGCGCGCGACTCCCCCACCCCCGTTACCTTGTAGAAAGTGACTGTGTCCAGGGGCAGGGCGCCCTTGGTGTGCAGGCCGCTGCCGCCATGCGGAGCGGAGAGGAGCAGGAGGAACAGGAGAAGGGGGAACAGTGGGGACAGAGAAGCGGCGCGGGGCACGCCGGCAGCCATAACGCCGGATTCTGGCAGTGAGAGCTCGGAAGGCTGTAGTGGAGACAACGCGGAGGGGGGCGTCACGTGACTAGCAGGGCCGGCTGGGATGCGCGCACGTGTACAGCCTGGGAGGCTCGCGCCGGCCCAGGGCAGGAGGGAGGGGCCACGTGAGGGGCGGGGAGACGAGGCTGCCACGCGCGCGCACTCGCCGAAGCTCGCGCAGGCCCGGGGCGTGGGGGCGGGGCCGCGGGTAGCGGGTGGAGGGAAGGGGCTGCTGCGCACGCGCGCTCGGCGAGGCTCGCCGTCGGCCCGCTGGCCCGCTCTTTTCCCGTCCTCCTCTCCGTGAGGAGAGGCTCCAAGCGCGTGCCTGGCGTCTTGCAGCGATTACGTTGCTCTCTTTCCTCCACTTCGAAGAGGACGAGGCTGGCCATCATTTCTTCCTGCTTTTGGCCCTTCAGGCAGTCCGTTGGGACCTGCTGCTACTTTAGGTTAGTCTGTCAGTGTGTGGTGCCACCCTCACGCGGCGGGCATACTCCCGCAGCTCCCTTAGCCAGGACCCAAGTAGGTCGCGCGGACGCTGCTGCCGGTCAGCATGGCGGTCAGGGCCCCCTCCGAACCCTGCCCAGTGCCTGCCCTGTGGGGCATGCCTCAGCGGCGAGACGCCAGGCTCCGGTACAAGCAGGCTTTACTGAAAGTGGGGTCCTCGCGCAGCTACCTCCTAGGCTCCCTGGGGTCTTCAAAACAAAAGTCCTAATAACTCTACGCCCTAGATGTTTGTTCAGATGTGTGGTTTACACTGGATCCCTTTTGCCTGCGGGAATACAGAATAGAGGTGAATGAGATAGAGCTCTGGACTGAAGGAACTCCTGGTGTGGCGGAGCAGAAGATGGTAACAACAACCACTACGGTGTTGTGAAAACACGTGGAAATCCAGTCAGTCATGCTAAGGAGTGTCAAGGAAAGTTAGAGACAGGAAATGACTTCTGAACCGGGTCGTGAAGGAGGAGGAGGAGGAGGCATCGACAAGGCAAAAACACCAAAGGATATTTCTAGAAAGGGAAAAAAACATGATCAATCTGTAAGGGTAAACTGAGGCACTTTGCAAAAGGTCTCATCAAGCTGAAGGGTTTGGAGCCACCACAGGTGTTAATGAGAATGAAGTTGGATTTGCTCTCACTGAGGAGTGAAGGGAGTGGATCGAAAGGAAGAAGGTTGAAGGCAGGGAGATTAATTAAGGGTCAATTGCGGTAGTCTAGATGAGAGGGTTTAAGGTCCTGCAGAGGCATGGGTGGAATTGAGAAATTTTGTGGTGTAGAATTCATAAAACTTTATAAATAAATGGATGTGAGGTAAAGAGAATAATTTATATATACATATTGAGGGGCTTAGCACCATATTAACCATTTTGTATATCTAATAAGTGCGTGTGTATATAAAGTAGTCTCCAAAGATCATAGGATCCAGTCATGGGTAACCAGTTTATATAGAAATTTTGAAAGAATGAGTCAATATATGTATGTGTTTTGGAGGTTTGGAAAAATTTCGGTTTGCCCTAATAAGTTATTAAATAAAATGAGCCACATAGACACTGAGAGAAGAAGAAGGGGGACTTATGAGCTAAAGTGGTTAAAGAAGGCTTCATGTAGGAAGTGGAAAAGGAGTTAAAACTTGGATCAAAGAACATCTTAGGTGGAGAACAAATGAAAACGGAGCAGAAATGGAAATAAGCATCATGGTTTTGGAAGACTGATTTGGCTGGAGAGACTTCTCAAAACATTTTCTTAAAGATTTTATTCATTAAAAAAAAGATTTTATTCATTTATTTGCGAGAGGGAGCAGAGGCAGACTCCCCGCTGAGCACAGAGCCGGATGCAAGGCTCAATCCCAGGACCCTGAGATCATGGCCTGAGCAGAAGGCAAGATGCTTAACCATTGGAGCCACCCAAGTGCCCCTAGTAAGACAGTTATAAGCCCAGGTAGGGGAAAGTCTTGAAAAGCCAAGATTTTTCTCATTTGTCCTGTACTCAATAAGGAGCTATGAAGAGATTTAGAACCCTTTATAAGATGTTTAGACTACTTTTAAATTATTCACTTCTGAACATGTAAATGCTTTGGGTACACCTAGTTAGCATGATCAATCAGGAATGGCTTTCTAGTCATAGTTTTGAAGTAGGTTTTGAGAAAAGTGAAGGAAGAGGATTGGTTGGGAAGGGAGGGGAAATATTGGTACCTTTGCTATGAATTGCAGTAATTCAATACAGTACAATACGTGTCTCAATACTTCCTTTTGGTAGTGCCCTGGTCCCAGTTGACTGCTTTATAATATGATTAGATTCTTAGCTTCAGGACCCTGATGACAATCTACACAAATAAGTCAGGTGTAATTATCTATATTTAGGAAGTTATATAATTCCATAGTTGACACTAATGTGGAAAATCAGAAGGCTCACCCTGGGTATTGTAGAGAAGAAGCAGGACATGTTAAGTTGATGCAAGATGGTTGAACCCAATGGTCAATAAAGAATTCTTGAGACATTTTATGGTTCAAGAAGGTGTTTTTATTATAGTGCAGCAACAGGACCTATGGGCATAAAGAGCTGCACTGGGGTTGTGAGGAGTAACTGATTATATACTTTTAAGTTGAGAGGGGGTTAGAGATAGTGTAAGTCTGGAAGGAATTTGGAAGCTAGTTTTCTAGGATCTTGAGGGGTCATTTACTACTGTTTAGTAAAACCTTAGTCATTAGATCCTTCAGCTGTATATCTGTGGGCCATATGTTTGGAGGATGATTGCTAACACATCTTAAGCGGGCAGAGAAGTTTCCAAAGAGATTTTCATCTGTTAAAGTAGACTTTACAAGATCCTGGAGGTCAGAGTAATGTCATGCTAAGGTTACCTTTTGCCTCTAGCAAAGTATTAAAATTGAGGCAGTTGAGTTCCTGGAGGAAGGTCACCCTGCCAGTTTCAAGTACTTGTTAGCTGTAAGTTATAAGGAAGTTTAATTGTTTCTGTATTTGTTTTGCCTCAATTCTCCCCATCAAAATGAGTATACGCTTGATGCCATGTAGCAGCTGGAATAAAGAGGAGAAAAGTGGTCTGCTAAGGCAACTAATAAATAAATTTAAGTCTTTTTCTTCTAACATCATCAAGCTAGTGTATCCCCAGTGTCATTGTCGTCTTTGCTATTCCTTATATACACAAGGCATGTTCCTTCCTCAGGGCCTTTGTACTGGCTTTCTCCCTCTAAAACTTTTCCTTAAGATAGTCATATGACTGCCTCTTTCACTTCCCTTAAGTATTTCCTCAAATGTCAACTTCCTAAGATCTACCCTGACCATCCTTTAAAAGAATTACTCCTGGGATCCCTGGGTGGTGCAGTGGTTTAGCGCCTGCCTTTGGCCCAGGTCGCGATCCTGGAGACCCGGGATCGAATCCCACGTCGGGCTCCCGGTGCATGGAGCCTGCTTCTCCCTCTGCCTATGTCTCTGCCTCTCTCTCTCTCTTTCTCTCTCTGTGTGACTATCATAAATAAATAAAAATTTTAAAAAAATTACGCCTTCTGGTAGGGACTACTTAGTGCTGGGCCTTGCATATTTGACTTTTTCTTCTGTGCTGGAGGCCTCTGCTGCATCCGTGTTATGCCAGATCCTCAGGCCAGGAAGCATCTGAGCTTGATCCCCCCCCCCTCTTATTTATTGGGGCAGGAGATACTGGAGCAGCACTGTATGTCTTGTGCCTGGCATTGTTCAATCCAGATGTCAGTTTTGGGATAGGAAGAATAACCCAGAACCCAGGAACAAACTGGGTCCCAATGATCAATACAAGTTCTACCTAATCAGTGAATGTATATTACAGGAACTGAAGAAAGAAAGTCCAGCATTTTTTAAAAAAGATTTATTTATTCATGAGAGAGACAGGCAGAGACATAGGCAGAGGGAGAAGCAGCCCTCCTGTGGGGAGCCTGATGCAGGACTCGATCCCAGAACCCCAGGATCATGACCTGAGCCAAAGGCAGATGCTCAACCACTGAGCCACCCAGGTGCCCCAGAGGTCCAGCATTTTAAATGAAATGTTTCACTATAAAGCTGCTTAGAATGAAGGTCTTCTAGAAGTTATTGGCACAATTTTCCACTTATCTAGGAAATATTTCCCCTCTAACTGCACAAAATCATGTTTGTGTTTTGTGTTGGGGTTTATACTGATTAATAAATATCTAAACTTGAAAAAAAATTGCTCCTTCCTGATACCTCCTTGCTTCACATCCCCCTTTTTTTTCTCCATAGCACTTTTCAGCTTGCTAACATTCTACATAATTTGCTTATTTTTCATATTATGTGCTCCCATGAGGACTAGATTTGTCTTTGTGTTTTTGTCTCTTTGGGTTAAGATACTATATCCCCCTACCTGGCATATGAGAGTACTCAGTACATACTTGTTCACTGAATAAATCAATCAATGAAAGAGAAACTGTTCCATGGCTGACTCTCAAAATTCATTAGCTCTTTTTACATTCCTTTCTTAAAACCTCATCCTGTTCCCCAGAGATATTCCATCTCTTAGAGCTAATTGTTTTTACCTCGTAAATTTTTGTTGGTGTTGTTGCTAACACTAATCCTTCTGAGACAGATGAACACTTAAATTAAGAACAAAGCTAAAAAAAAAGAACAAAGCTGTTTTCATCTGTTAAAAATTATTATGGAAGGAAGATTTACCAGCAGTATGATTTTCTTCAAGCCGCATCTTCCTTTAAGAATTCTTTCATTATTGGGGTGCCAGGGTAGCTCAGTTGGTTGGGCATCTGCCAGCTCCAGTAGTAATCTTGGAGTCCTGGGATATAGCCCCATACTGGGCTCCCTGGTGAGGGAGTCTGCTTTTCCCTCTCCTTCTGCCACTCCTCCCTCTGCAACTCCTAGCTTTTGCTCATGTGCGTGCTCTCGCTCTCTCTCTCTCAAAATCTTAAAGATTCTTTTGGGCACGTGGGTTGGCTCAGCCAGTTAAGCATCTGCCTTTGGTTCAGGTCATGATTTCCGGGTCCTGGGATCAAGCCCTGCATCAGACTCCCTGCTCAGTGAGGAGCATGCTTCTCCCTCTCCATCTGCCTCTCCCCCAGCTCATGCTCTCTCATTCTCTCTCCCTCAAATAAAGTCTTTAAAAAATGAATTCTTTCAATATTAAAAAAATTCTTTCAATGTTTCAATATTTAACAACTACTTGTACATTTTACATGTACCATATACTCGTCTGAGGGCAAGGTGCTTAGATGTGCTCCCTGCAGACCTAGTTAAGGAAACCAACATTAAATAATCTCACAAATAAATATATAATTACAAATTGTGATAATTTCTGGAAAGAAAAGTTGAAGGCCTATGAAAAAATATGGAGGGGTCAATTGGGATTGGAGTTCATGGAAAACTTCTACAAACAAGTATATGTAAGCTGAGATAAGACCTGAAGGATGAATAGGATTCAGCTCTCAAGAAACTTACTC